GTCTGGTTACTACCGTTTATGGTACCCATCCCTAATCAAAAGTCAATTAAAATGTGATTTGTTTTACATTTTTTTGAGGAGTAAAGTTTAACACCTGCTCATTTCCTTTTTGTTTTTCACCTGTCGAGGCTATAATGTCACTGACGTTCCACACTGCTGTTATTTACCTCTTTACTCTTCTAACTGGGATGCCAGGTAACGGAGCGTGAGCTAAAGTCCGGTGGCGCCAACCTCCAAGTAACTGAGAAGAACAAGAAGGATTATATAGAGCGAATGGCCAAGTGGAGGGTGGAGAGAGGAGTGGTGCAACAGACGGAGGCGCTGGTCCGAGGCTTCTACGAGGTAAACGACACAAGGTTTTCAACAACTCATCAGTGCTTGCAATACACAGTTCACTTCCTAGTGCCTGCAACCTCAAAGCATCATAATACACACATGGAAATAAATGTTAGCACAAAGAGCTGAACCTTTTGTTCCTTCTTTCCAGGTGGTGGACTCCAGGCTGGTGTCGGTGTTCGATGCACGGGAACTGGAGCTGGTCATTGCTGGGACGGTGGAGATTGACCTCGGTGACTGGAGAAACAACACCGAGTATAGAGGAGGTGTGTTAGACAAAGAAAGAAATATTGACTCTTTCATATTTGCAGCTCATTATTTTTGTTCTTTAGCACTACTACCTTTATGCTGGGGCTCTTCCCAAAATAATCCCTTTTAAGGATTATTATGAGTTTGTCTTCTGTCTGAATCAAGATGGTTTAGCTCCAGTCTTCACGTTACATTGGCTCACATTAAGCCAACTTTCTGCAGAGTGGCTGCCCCTCGTAAACAAAATACTTGAACAGCAGGTGTGTGGGATTTCTGTGCTTACACAGTGAGCACAGAAAAGATTATATTAGCTGTACAACAGCAGAAAATCCTGTTTTTAGAGCAGTTTGGACTAAGTTAAATATGGGTTGCCACTATTTTAACTGCAAATGAATAACAGAAAATGCTTGTTTTGTCAATGTGTGTAACCTTAGTTAAATGTGATGTCGCACATGCTAGGTTACCATGACGGCCACATAGTGATGCGCTGGTTTTGGGCTGCAGTGGAGCGCTTCAACAATGAGCAACGCCTCCGTCTGCTGCAGTTTGTCACGGGGACATCCAGCGTTCCCTACGAAGGCTTTGCCGCCTTGCGAGGTTCGAATGGCCTCCGGCGCTTCTGCATTGAGAAGTGGGGCAAAGTGACATCACTACCCAGGTATCTAAGTCCTCTTCTGCACTCCTACCTGTTCTTTACAATCAGTAAGGAACATGGTTCAAGTAGAGTGAGCTCATCCTGGCCACCAGGAACAGCACAGCACAGTTTTCTACATAGCCTGCATGTGTGTATTTTTAAAACAAGCAATCAGGAGGATGGCACTTCAGCACCAAAATCAACCTTTATGACAATCCACCTGGCTGTACTTGTTCTACCATGAACAGAATCAGTGACAAAGGGGAATCCTGGCAGAGTCCAACACCCACCAGAAATCCACAAAAGTCCAAAAAATACACGTAGACAGATTGTACAAACCCCCACATACTCTCGAATGTCCTCAAGAGGATTAAGAACTGATCTGTTGTTCCACGACCAGGATAAGGAACTGCGTTGTTCCTCTTGAATCTGAGGTTCAACTAACAGACACATTTCTCCAGTAC